ACTCTTGTCTACATAATATATAGCACCGCAACACTCTCTTGTTGCATCGCAGCATTGAGGTCTAAAGGTCCACAATGCTTTGCTCTATCTAAGACTCTAACCAGACAATATAACGCCACAACGATTTATTATACCTACAACGTCGCATGCTCGGGTGCACAACGACGCAGCATTTTACGGTTGCACAAAAAAAAAACGTGCAAAGCACCCGAAACCATATAGGGGGAGGACCCCTTGTAGTCCACCGATGAGCTCGACTAATGAAATTGAGATACAAGGCAGCATGACAACCTGATTGATCGACACAATCATATTCCACATAAAACTAACATTTAATTCGGATAAATAGATGTTTATCAAAGTGATAATATATAATTTCATTCGATCAACTTGGAAGTCTAAGGTATTGTTGGGCTTGGAGGAGTTAAAATTAAAAGGAAATATTGTTTAGCTCACAATTACATCATTATTGTTTGATTATTCATTCTCCAATTGATAAATGATTATTCCTAAAACCAAAGAAAACAATAAAGAAGAGAAATTACGATTCCAGTCAATTCCTATCTATTAAATAATAAGAAGGGCTCGTTGCTCTTTAATGGCTTTTAAGTCATGCTTTGTCTTTTATTAGTGTTACTTAAATCATGCCGATGATTACAAAGTCGCTGCCTCCTGTTTTGGAGCAATATAGATTACGGAATGGATACGCTGTTGCGGTCAATGAACTCTGAATAAATCACAGTGCCGTTGAATTAATAGCTACACTTGATGTGCATCGAGAATGACCTCATGGTTATTAATCTTTATTATGAAGAGAACCAGCAATACAACAGTAATTAAATAACATAAAACTATTTTTTTTTGTGAGAATTCTTTAGCTTTGCCCTATTATTAATAAAAAGAAATATTACAAACAATAAACAAGACGAAAATTAATGATAAGTGAAACAAAACGGAACAAAATGATAAGGAGATAACCAGTTAAAAATAGAACAAGAGGCCGAGAATATTGAAAAAACTGCTCTGAACTCAGGTATAGCAGTCAATTTTTGGAATTTCGTTCACTTTGTTCTCTGGTTGCCCGAAGATCATCCAAGAGGAGTCATGGCAAGCTAACATCAACCTCGAGGTAGTAAGAGCATCAGGTTGCCGGACAGATTCTCAATGATTCAAATTCAACTTCAAATTCAACATTTAGAAGTTTCGGTAAGACCCTTTCATTCGAAATATGATGTTTATTGATAGCACAGTTGATATGTTTCATTGTAGTAATTAATTAATAAGTATAAGATATCATAACTGTTCTTCCTACTAAACTTAACCGCTTTGTCTTGCTCTTGCTTCTTTAGTTAGTTGCCTAATTGATGATGACATCGGTGTTTACGTTCATAAGATAAGAGCCTAAGCATCAGGGGAAGAACCAACATCTTTTTTGAGGATGAGCAACATATAATTGTGAAATGTATAATCTTTTGTATGAAATAGAAAAGGAATTTTTTTTTTTTTATTTGGACAATTGCGTTTATTGAAGGTATGCAAAATAGTTAAAATATTTATTTTTTCTTAAAAAAAAATGCCCACCATCAGCTCTTACTGATTCCAACCCTACTAAGCACCAACCATTAGGTTATAGGAAGAATAATTATGCCTCTATTAGTGCATTTTTTAGCAGAATTTATGGAACTTTTGTAAGAGAATTCTATCATAAACCTCATATGTTAGTATTGATGGGATCAAAATGTATATAATTCACTTTATTTTGCTGAAATTGAGCTTCACGCTTACTATTCAAATAAAATATTATTTTAATGCATTAATGTTAATGAAATGTTATAAGTTTCACTGCGTAATTTTTTATAAGTTATAGAGATTGAGATATTTAACATTTTGAGTATTTTATGAAAATTTTACAATGTGGGTTTTAAAATTTATGGGGTTTTTACTCAATAGAAAATTATTTCGATGTAAAAAAATAGAGTTATATATAGTCCAATACGGGTCTTAAAATATTATTTTACACAACCCCTAATAGTTTAATTATTTTATGATAATATGCATTTTTGATTAGTAAGATTTTATGTTGCCTATCATTAGGAAAAATTATGCAATTCTGAAAAATGCCCAATTAAGCTTTAATTGTTATAATATAATAAAAAATTGTGTATATGTGATTAAATAATATCTACTTGGAGTCATAATTCTTTGAGATTCTATATGTGTCAGAGAATACTCTAGTGCCTGTAAGGTATGTTTTGATGTCAATAAGCTAGGTTCTAGTTACATGCGTATTTTGTTGCTATAAGTATAAAAAAGAGTCATAAGGGGTCAAAATTTTTTGAAATTCTATTTGGGTCCGGGGAAGGTGATACAAACTATTCTATGATATGAATTGTAATTTATTCATCTGTTCAATATTATTTTTTTATAATAGGATAACTGTTATGATCGTATTACATTTCTCATTAAAGTAATTTATTAGATTATATATAAATAATTTTAAATGTTTAGTAAAATATTTTATATAATAATTAAAAAAAATTAAAATTTAGATCGATTTATGTGGCCTACTGAGTTATTGTAGCTCATCGTGATTTTGCTTCTAGTTTTTATGATCTGGGAAGACAAATGAGATTGTTGATTAATTAGTACGTAGTTTAGGATCAAATCAGCTTAACATGATAGATCCTATCCTCATCTGGTTGGATTGTGATAACATGTACATTGATGAGAATATTAAATAAATTCATATGTTATGATCATGGTTTATAATGTGCTAGCTCTTTATGTTGTTATTATGTTATATATGATACGGGAAGGGCTTGCAGGACTTGATACGAGAAAAAAACATCACATTTAACTAAATATCCTGCTTTGCTCATATATGCATATGACATGACCATACATTATAAATTATATAAGTGACTTGATATAACATGATACGTGACATGGCTGATATACCATTTATATACCAATTACCATAATATCTTATAAATAAAAAAAAATATATTTTTATACATTGTTTAAATTTTATAATTATTCCTTTTTGTAAGAAAATATAATTTCATTCCAAAATATACGTTATTTAGATAAACTTTCCAATATATTTATTATTATCATTAACTATAATTATATATAGGGATGTACAAAGAAATACATAAATCCGAAAGTCCAAACTAAACTGGCCTGTTTATCTAGTTTAATTTGTTTTATTCAGTTTAGACTTGATATTTTATTTAAATTAATATGATTTGGTCATATATATATATATAATCATTAAGGCCTTCAAATGTCCAACGAACGGTGCATGATCAAAGGATTCGATATCGGCCGTCCATTCAAAGCACTCCCAATTCGCCCCTTATCTCACGCCTATTTACGGGCTATGCCACTCCAGAAAAACTATAAATAGAGCCCTCATTCTACACCAAGGGGACTCAAGTGAAGAAAGAGAAGAAGAAGAGAAGAAGAAGGAAAAGGGGAATAGGTGATTCCCCTCCTCCTCGACCATACGCCGGAACTTTGCCGGATTTTCGGGAAACAACGGGATTCTACAAATTTTGTGAATTTGCTTCAAGTTGTAATATGATCGTCCCAATTTGCGGGACGAATCAGTTTCTTGTAATTTACAAAAATACTAGTGGAATTTTTTAGCTGGGCAAGGCCCCGTGGTTTTTCCTTTTTCGGGTTTTCCACGTAAAAACCTTGGTGTTCAATTCTCTTTTCTGTTTGTTTGCTTAATACTCGTACAACGCTAAGACGAATATTTACAAACTCTACCGCCGCGTATATTCTAGCACGCAAGAACTAGTAATCCTAAAAGAAATAAAATTATGCGTGCTTAGCATTGGAGAAGGTGCGATCAATGCTAGTAGAAGAAGCATACGAATTAGTCAAATATATATAGAAGAAGCAATGTTTCACCAAACAAATTGAAATCAATGATGCTATTGCAGAAAAGAGACAAGGGGCATCTAGTCTATGTTGCATCTTATGAGCAGTACACACTTTTTTTTTTTTATACTTCATCGTTCAAAAAAAGCTCCAAAAGATTGAATTATGTCCAATAATTGATTCTCCAAAATTGTCCAAAAGCCATATATGATCTTATGAAGAGCAAAGGTGAAGCCATTAGCATAATGATGTCAGTAAACAGAATGTGCGGTTTAGAGCAAAAAAATCCAGCTAAATCAATCAAGAATGACTACAAGAAGAGGATAAATTATTACATGCGGAATCTGAACATATATATCTCACATCCGAACTACAATAAAATCAAGCCAAGTGAGTTGTACACACCCTGTGTACAACTTGTAAATATATTGTGTATAATACAAAGTGTATGTACAAGCCATGAAGCTTGATTTCATTGGAGCCTGAACTTGTCCAGACTCTGAACGTAATAATTTCTTCAACAGAGGGAGATCCTTCTACCCACCCAACAGACCTTATTAATTCCAGTGAAGAATGCAAGAAACGTCTAACCACAATTCCAATCACAAAAATCATTTTAGCACCCAAAACCATCAATCTCACACAGTTCATAAGAAAACAAATTAAGCACCCGATATGCCATTTAAATTCGATAAACAACAATCATAACATGGTGAAAATCACCCAGAAAATCAAACCATTCAACCAATACCAGAAATATAATCGCAATAAACAAATACTTTCATGAAGCCCAAAATCATGCCCATCTAGAAACATACATGCCATATATATAATATATTTTATATTTTAAACATCAAATGAAAGTAATTTTTATCTTTTTCTTTCTTTGGAATTAATTAAGATAAATTCACATCCATATCATATACGTAAGATGCAAATTTAAGATTTCTTAATTAATGTCAAAACTCCCAACTAATAGATCAAGATGAACTACATGAATTTTTTATTACTTTTTAAAAGGGCCCTAAATAAAATATAAAATATGGATAATATATATGAAAATATCTAAAATTTCGCCTTGCTCTTTTTAAGCTGGCAAAATGAGTTCTTAAAATCACTGACCTCTCCTGAAAATTGATTATTAAGGTTTCCAATACATAGATTAACCCAATCATATTATAAAACAGAAAAAAAGTCTTTTTTCTGAATCGAAAATCCGGCTGTTAATAAGACAAAAAAGAATGAACAAGACTAAGAATGACGCCACCTCGAAGCGCACCGGATTCGCTAATATCGGGAAGCCCATCCAAAAAACGACATTTCTTCGCAAAATTTTCTCCTCCGAAACAACAAATGCAATCACGGCGCAGCGTTATGACGGACGGGCGGACCAGCCTGAGGCCCGCCCACTTGGCAAACCGCCGGGCTTCTCTCTCGATCTCTGTTTCTCTCTCCTCTACCGCCACGTAAGTGAGTGAGCGAGGAAGCCGACGAGAGCTGAAGAACAAGCGCAAAACACCTGGTCAACTGTTTCTTATATAAAAAAAGAGAGAGAAAAGATGAAATGAACTTTTATTATATAAACAGTCATGATATGTGTTGAAACATGCTGGAATTCAATTCCAACCTCTTAACAACAGCTTTATACTTGTAAATAGCAATGCTCATTGATCGATCTTGATGGCGATGGGCTTACAATCCTCCTTATCATTACTCTCTCCGCCGGTGAGGCACTGCGCGCGGTCAGCCTGGAATTCCCAGTCCGTGCTGGTGACAGAAGAGAGCATTAGAGCGAGACACGTGGCCTGAGCAGCAAGCAGCCCGAGCCAAAGCCCGGGAAAATTAAACCTTGCCAAGAACGCGAGCCCAACGGCCACAGGCATCCCCACACCATAAAATGATCCAAGGTTGATGTTTGCGGCGGTGCGAGGCCGCGCGCAGCCGCGGAGCACGCCGCAGCCCGTCGTCTGAGGGCAGTTTCCGAGCTCGCATAGTCCTAAAATCGGCAACACGGTGGTTGTAAGGCGGATAATCTCGTCATCAGTGGTGAATATCTTAGCCCATGCGTGGCGAACGGAGATGGAGAAAGAGAAGGCGGTGAAGCCAAGGAGGGCGCCGCAGGCTAGGCCGAGGGTGGCAGTTCGTCGGGCTCCTGCAGGGCGGTTGGCGCCGAGTTCGTTGCTGACGCGGGTGGAGACACCGGCGCTGAGAGAGTGGGGGAAAATGTAGATTAATGATGTGGTTTGGATAAGGAGGCCCATGGATGCTACGGTCGATTGTGGGTGAATAAGGAGGCCGCAGAGGAGAATCATTATTTCGTACCACCACCATTCTAAGCAGACTGAGGCACAGCTTGGTACGGCGAGAGAGAGAAGCGAACGCCAGCCGGAGATGGAGAAGGTGCCGTCCTGGGATGTGGGGATGAGGCCACCGGTGCGGGAGTGAACGCCGGAGAGGTGCAGGTAGATGATAAGGAGGATAAGGAGGCTGAGGTTGGTGAAGACGGTGGCCAGAGCGACGCCGGGGATGCCGAGATGGAAGTGGTTTATGAATAGGTGGTTGATGGGGAAATGGAGGGCGGCTGTTGCGGCGGCGGTTGTGGTGAGGGGAAGAGTGATGGATTGGGAGCGGAAGTAGATGCGGAGGGGGTGGATGAAGGATTGGAGGACAAGGTCAGGGAGAGAGAAGAGTATAAAGGATTGGGCGGCGTCGGCGATGGTGGAGTCTTGACTGCAGAAAATGAGTATGCGGCGCATGGAGAGCCAGAGGAGGGAGATGGGGAGGGAGGCGGAGAGGAGGAGCAGAATGGTGCGGCGGAGGGCGAGCCCGAGAATTTGGGGTCGGCCGGCGCCATGGGCTTGGCCGCAGATGGGGTCCATGCCGGTGGCTAGACCAGAGAGAACAGAGTAACCGGTTATGTTGGCGAAACCGATTGCGAGGGACCCACCGGCGAGTGCTAGACTGCCAAGGCGGCCGAGGAAGAGCATGGAGATCATAGAGCGGGAGTAGAGGAGAAGGCCGGTCAGAATCATGGGAAGTGATATGGAAAAAATTGATTTTATTTCGATGAAGGACATCGCAAGCTGGCGAGCAGGCGCCGGCGGTGGGGATTTGATGTTGGGGGATTCATCGTTGCTCTGGGTCTTGGCGATAAGCGGTGCAGCGAAGACTGCGTCTGTATGGGGATGGCCGTCTTTGAAGTTGGTCTCTGGATTATTTGATTGACACATGGTTACTGTTAGTTCTGTTAACTTTTAAAGCACAAGTAGGAAGGACGAGAGAGAGAGAGAGAGAGAGAGAGATTTTGGAGGATTTAGTTTCGTAATGGGCAGAGAAATGGGGATGGTTTTATAGGAGGAGGAACTGGGAAGACATTCTTCTTGCTGGAATTTGGAAGATAGCGCTTTGTCCAGTAGGGGCAGAGCGGGCTTTGTTCTGTCCGCTTCTGTCAGCAGGATGATCTTTAATATATGATACGCTGCATATGGAGCCCATCCGACCTAGCGCGCGACTTATTGGCTTGGGTGGGCGGGCCACACCAAGCGGGCAAGATGAGCACCGCCTTGTTTATTTTTGGTCTTTTAAGTTCAATACAATCTTCAAATAATAAGCTAAGATAAAAAATTTTGACCAATTATTTACTCGTATATAATAATCGTTTTATAAACAATATATCGCATATATATATATAGAATGGATCACCTAAGATATGTATTAAAATTTTGAATTTAAAATTTTAATTCTTTTCTTTCAATTGAAAATTAAATACATTGTAATCAAGATTCAAGCTTGAATTCAAGATAGTAAATTTTAAATGTTTAATATTTAAATCATTCCTTCTATGTGGAAGGCTTTTAAATTGATTTTTATTCTCTTTTAATAGCCTTAGGCTTCAAATGGAAGATATGAGGGTGCTCTTTTCGGGAGTGATATATTCTACTCCATTTTCTTATTTGTTCACCATAACTTAGCTTTCCTTCTTTTAAAGTATTTCCCTCCTCTTTTTTGATATTTTTTAAATTTGAGAAATAATACAAGATAATAGTTTTAAATATTATTGGATTGAATATAGAAAATGTTTTGATGTTTTGACCTCCTCCTATTTGGATTGAGAGCATGATCTTTTCCTCTTTTGGTTCTCTTGAGATGACACTTATATCATTATTTTACTTACTAATATCTCTCTCTCTCTCTCTCTCTCTCTCTCTCTCTCTCTCTCTCTCTCTCTCTACACACACACATACAAACACACATAAAATCATAATATATTCTTCCAACTCCCTCGCATCATCCTACAATATTTCTCCAAGCATCATATCCCTAAGAAAATTTCAAAACCCCTTTTAAAACCATCAACAAAGCTAGTGGTCATCTTGACCTAATTTTGCAATATATATATATATATATATATATAGCCCTACGATTCTAGAACCTTTTTCAAATTCTCAATACACCTTTAAGTCCCTTCACAAATTCAATATTTCAAGACTAGTCAAATTTGTCTAAACTATATCACCTTGATCTAATCTTATCTTTCTTTTTCCATCTTTTTCCTTCCAAACCATTTAGAATATCACAAAATACTTTATATCGCTCTAAAGATATTATCCTAACATTCCTAAGTGGTTCCATGCATTGAATACTCCACTATAAGAGCCCTTAGTTCCATGTCCCTTAGTAGAGCTTTGGGCATGTTCATGACCTACGTATTTGATTGACCATCCCTTTCAACAATCATTATAAGCAAAGCTATTTTAATACTCAAGATCAACGTACCCCATATGTTCTTAGAGCTCCCCCTTCTCTCCCTCCAATCCCCTTCTCTCTCAACCATAAGAACACCTTAAATCTCAACGAACTACTCTAAATCTTACCTCCACATATTCTCTAACATTCTACAACCTTTTTCAAACCTCACTATTATTAATATTTCAAGACTAGTTAAATATGTTTAAACTAGATTACCTTGATCAAATTTGTTTCCATTCCTTAGCTTCTAACCATTTAGAATTTCACAAAATACTTCATACCACATCTAAAGATGTCATTTAACTTTTCTAATTAGTTTCATGCCTTTAACCATCCACTTCAAGAACCCCTACATCTAAGACCTTATGGCGAGATTTAGAGATGGTCATGGCCTAATCATTTGACTGGCCCTTTCATTTTAACCATCATCATAAGTAAAATTATCTCAACTCCCAAGGGTGTAATAAATGAAAGCCTTTGATCACTCCAAGGCTAAGTCAAGTTGATATTAGAGCAAAAGTTTAGACTTGGGAAAATTGTAAATAAGGTGTGCATGCATGTTACTATAATTAGATTTCATCAATTGACATCATATCAGTTAAAAATATTATTTTTGTAACATCTACCTTCCTGACATTATGCTTACTTATTTCAATGAAATTATTACAATGTATGTATTGATTTATTATTTGACCAATTAGCAAACATATGTTTTAATTATTTACACCTAATTAGCTACCTTAATTATAAAACTTAGCAATTCACCTTTAGTTGACCCCAACCTATATATATTGTGCACTATATGAAAATCAGCTTTTTGTGGCAAAATTTATGGCGGAATAATGTCCATCACAAATGTCAATAGATTTGTGATAGATTATTTCAAAGAATTTTTTTGATATTTTTGTGGCAGATTTGAGACATAAATTCTGCCACATATTTGCAGCAAAATTTGCCACCATATATTTGTTGCAAGCTACGCTATAATAGCAATAAAAAATATTCTTTTTAAATGCTCTTATCTTCACTGCCAAGTGCAGAAGGGCGTTGGTTTTTTATGAGTGGAATAGGGTATGAGTGTCAAAATGGGTCAGGTTTTAGTCAAACCAAAATTGACCTGGGTCCAAATGGGTTGACCCTAGCTTAACCCTATTTATAAAAAAGTTATGAATTCTAAACCAAAAATAAAAAAAATAAAATAATTAAAAAAGCAAAAAAAAAAAAAAAAAAAAAAAAAAAACCAGGAATTCTAACTTGGACCCAACTCGCGTAGGTTACCGGGTTGAGCCGAATTGACCCGCAAACCCCAAAAACAGCGGACATGGGTGCATCATACGTACTCAGTGCTGTGTAATAGCGGTGCCAGTGGGTGCAGGAGGCTTGAGGCAAGAGAACTGAGTGCGGTGGTGCACCTGTGCAAGAATGACCACGTTCAGAAGGGTGAGCGCGGGACCAACTATCCTTTGGTAAGGTAGGGCATGGGTGTGAGTCCTGCAGGAGGCCGGAGGTGGGGTCAACAGGTAGAGCCACAAGCGCGGTGAGGCAGGTGTGGGTTGGGCCGACTGGTACCCCACATGAATGACGGGGCAAGGGTTGCGACTCAAGAGACAATCACGTGTAGGGGTGTCAATGAGTCGAGTTTAAGCCCTTATCGAGCTTGGCTCGTCAGTTGGAAACCGAGCTCAAACTCGAGCTCGAGCTCTAGTCGAGCTTGACTAGCTAGCTCTAACTCGAGCTCGTCTCACTGTAAACGAGCTCGAGCCGGCTCGAGAACCTGCTCGCAAGCCATGAGCGAGAATTTGAAAATTTAGGCGGGAACTTTAAAAATTAGCTCGGATTACTAAAACTTAAGCATGATTTTTAAAACTTAGTTAAACTTTAGGAAAAAGATGAAATATTTAACATTTAAATAAAACTTAGGTGATTTTTATTTATTTTTTAAATATTTAAATTAATCAATAAAATAAATTTATTTAAAAATATTAATATTTATTCGAGCTGGCTCGCGAGCCGAGCAGGCCGAGCTCGAACTCGAGGTTGACTCGTGAGCTTGGTAAGCTCTGCTCATGATCCCATAAACGAGTCGAGCTCGAGCCGGCTCGCGAGCCGACTCGGCTCACTTACACCCCTATTCACGACTGCACCATGCGTTTGTGTTGTACGGGACACGAGTCCGTGGAAGGATCGATCCAAGATTTAGTCGTGACACCGGGATCTGGGTCACCCAGGCCAACTATAAGTTTTTAGGTCAACTCGAACCTTGCATGATTTTCAAATGGTCAAAAAACCAAATACATATCAAATCCATTTTATAAACGGGTTGACTTGAACCTGGATTTTTCAAGTCGGGTCTTGATCGGGTTTTAGGTCATGTCAACTTTTGAAACCTTTAGAACTGGGTTCGAATCACGGGCAGGCCGGTCAAGCAGGAGATGGCGCAGGCAGCGGATAGTCTGGTCATGCACAGGCAGCAGGTAGCCAAGTCAATTGGGCATAATTTGTGGTCATTTTTTGCTGAAACTTTACCGTAAATTTGCCACAAATTTGCTAGAAATATTTTTGGTAGATTTTTTTCGCCTCAAATAATTTTATGATATTACTTTTTGGGGCACATTATATTCAGCCACAAATCATATTTTGCGACAATTTTTTTTATTTTGGGACAGATTTATCCGCTGTAAAAATGTAGTTTTCTTGTAGTTTTGTTGAGTGTTACATATTTTTGGAGTGGCTCACTTAAAAAATAATGACCTACCAATTGAATGTTGAAATACAAATATATTAGTAAAGGTGTATTTAATTATTTGATTATATATTACAGATAATTAAGTATATTTATTATTATGACTGAAAACTAGTATATTTATTATTTATTATTCCGTGTTTTTCAATAACGGAAATAAAATTTAATATAAAAATTTACTAAAAATTATGTTTTTTTTTTAAATTGAGATGATCATAATGTGACTTAACTCGAGAGAAATAAATTTCCGAGCTGGGCCGACTAATGAAAATGTCTTAAAGTAGCCCAAAATCGAATTTTAGTTTTTTTCTTTCCTCTCTTTTTTTCCTAATTCTTCTGAGCAACTCTAAATAACAAACTGAGAAATGAGATATTTATTAAGCTATATAACTGAAATTAGATATTATATTGAAATCTCAATTATTTTAAATATTTAATATTAAAATAATTTCTTCTAACTTCTTTTATAACTTCAAATCCGAGAATTAAAAAAATTATAAAAAAATATTCATAAATTAGCTAGTAATGCATTGAATATTCTAGTAAAATTGGTTTGCAAAATGGACGCCTAATGATCTCAAATACTCCACTTATACCGATAAATGTCGATTTTTTAAGAAATTTCACCAATGACTAAAAATTATGAAAAAATAACGTAATTAAAGCATTACACTATAAATATTCTGACTGCTTGTGATTTGGACTTAACTTACACCTGAAATAATTATTGATTATTCTAGGTGAAAAAAATAAACTAAGACATTTCACAATCTATCTACCTTAAGAAAAATGTTGTCCTCAAC